GATGCCACCGAAAACAGGAAGTATATTCACGTGTACATGCAAAAGTGCACCTGCATCTTAACCCGCTGGCGCGATTGTTCCGTGGCGGCTTCGTCAGGATCAAGCCCATCAAGCCTTTCTCTCTCCAGTATTGGCACGACGATGGCTTCCACCTGCGCGGCGTACAACGTACAGAGACATGCAGTCAGTGTGTGACCTGCATCGTACTTGCGTCTGTTCGCTCGATTGCCCGCTTCATCTTTGCACGGTTACTGGGAACTTGCCTAGCATTTTGTGAGTTTGTCGTCAAAACCGTTTTCTTTAGAAGGCGTCATGCAATATTCCTATGCACAGAATACTAACTTTCCGTTTCTCTGCATCCTATCAACCACGCCAGATCAGCTGATCAAGGAAACAGTGCCAACACTCTACAGGGACAAGTAGGTGCGGCGATCTGACCTCCACCCGATACATACCTACCTCTTCTTCCTTACGGCGAGAAAACCAAGTTTACGTCGCCCAATGGCTTCTTTCAAAAACAACATCACAAAAACAAGACATCGATGGGAAGTTCGAAGTGCATGTGACAACCACCCGTACCTACCTATTGTGAACTGCTACTATATCACGAGTGACTGACCCAAACAGACAGGTAAGAAATATATATATATTATTCATGTATGTATGCCCTCAACAGTAATATCCCCCCCCACTCCCGGCGTGCTCCGTCCCGGCTTTGTAGGGATGTGAGGTCAATGGTCTAACGACTACGGCATGCACGACTATGAGTACACCCCCCCCCACTCATCATGTCCCCCCACTCATCATGTATACCCTCAATACTCATCATGCATGTATACCCTCAATAGTTATGCCACCCGCTGGAAACGGAAGGTCGAGAGGGGTTCAAGGAGAAGATATCTGTTGCTTGTGCCGAGAGAGAAGAACAGAATCTAAGGAAAGAAACCAAGGATAAGGAGGATCTAGAAGTGTACGGAATGTTGGAAAGAAGGAATGGGGTTCAGGAGTATCTACTACATGGACCAAAGCTGGTCAAATTCAGGACCGGGGACATTGGCGTTCGAGAACGTAGACGAAGATTTCGGAAGGTAGACCATGAAGACGACAAGTTCAAATGTGACTGCGGCTCCGAGTGCGAAGACCAGTTGCG